TTATATAGTCTTATGAAACAATTTCTTCCCTCTTGATATTTAGAGTAATAAAATTACAAGGAGATTTCAGAAAGCCAGGGGTTCTATTAAGGTCTCAATATCCAAAACTAAACCCATGCCATCAAGTTGATTCTGACTCATTATTGTTAAAGTGCCATTGAGTAGGTTCCAACTCATAGTGACCCTGTATAGGGTTTCCAGGGCTTTAAATTGCCCTCAGAGTAGCTGGTGGATTCAAATTGCAGACCTTGTGGTTCACAGCCCAGTGCTTATTATATAGAGACACCCTGCTCCTTTCTGACTCATTAGTGTTATAAAGGAGTCCTGGTGTGGTGCTGTAGTTTAAGCACTGGACCACAAGGTAGGTTTAAACTGCAAGGTGGCTCAAACTGACCTTGCGTTCCAGCCCTTTATCCTGCAGCACCACACCAAGACTCCTGTGAAGAACTTAAGACACCTGAAAAAGCATGTTCCTTATTCAGAGAAATAAGAATATTCATCAAAGAGCAAATCATTCGCCAGAAGCCATTAATCTAATAAAACAACTTTTTTTTTCAAAAATGACTAAGTCAATAATAAGTAGCCCTGGTAGTGTAGTGAGTTACTCATTGGACTGTTAAACACAAGGTCAGCAATTCAAATCCACCAGTGACTCTGTGGGAGAAAGATGAGGCTTTGTGCTCCCAAAAAGATTTACAGCCTGGGAAACCCTATACAGGGTCTCTATGAGTCAGAACAGACTCGACTACATGCCACCATCAACACCACCAAGTCAATAATGAAAATACAGACAAGAAATATGAGTCTCAACACGCTCTTATTTACTAATGTATTTACTTCTGTTTGAGAGAAAAAAGTGTATGTTATTTGTAATAACTTTCTTATATTACGTGTTCAAATATGAGGTCAAAGGTCTAGTGAATCTTTTTTACTTTTCTGTATATTTTTGAAACTTCATATTTCAAAATGAATTATTTCCCTGGGATAGCAGATTTGGAAATAACAACATATATTGACATTTTAATAGTGATTTTGTAAGTTCTTCAAGTTTATTCCTTTTGATAAGGGTGTTTTCTTCAAAATAGATATTTTAAGGCCATCATTGTTTGAGGGGAGGGGTGGATTTTAGGTCAGTAGCACTTTTTGTTTTAAGATTATAATGTACTCATGCTATATGTCAAATGGAACACGTTTAAAATAATTTATCCACTATATACAGCACACACGGTATCCAGATATTTAGACACGAAAACGTTAAAATGGTAAGAAATATTGTTTAACATACTTTCTTTTTTTTAACTTTTAATTGTGAATTGGGTGGAGGTTTACAGACAAGATCATCAGTTCTACATTCAGCAAACCATATACCTTGTTTCATCTCAATGATTGCAGTCCCTCCCTACAGCACCATTTATCCCACTTCCTCCCTGTGGCTCTCCATTTACATCTTATATTTCACAAATGAACAAGGCAAAAATAGTTGATGTAAACTTACAAAACAAAACTATGTATTTTCATCGAAATGTCCAAAGGGCGCATTCTGCCAGCCAGTCTCCTGCCTGCTGGGAAACAGCTACTGTCTCTGCTATCGCTGCTCTTCCTTCTTGATGGTCCTGGGATGATCTGTTCCTGAAATGAAAGATTAACTACTCCTTCCTTTTAGTTACACATCTTCTACAATTTCAGTTGTGACAATCACGATTAATCCTGCTAACAACGGAGTCATAAAATCCTATCACCATCGAAAGACCAATTACTTCTTCAGTGCAGATACGATTTTTTTTTAATTGCATTAGGCAAATCTGCACAAGACTTTTTTTTTTTTTTTTTAAAGGTTTTTATTGTGGATTGAGTAAAAGTTTACAGGGCAGACCATCAGTTTTACATTCAACAAATCATGCACCTTGTTTCATTACAATGATTATAATCCCCTCCAGGTACCATCAGTTAACAGTATTTCTCTCTATTCACTTTAGCTTTTTTTTTTAATAGCAAAACAAAAACAAAAAAACCCCACTCAGACATATATAGTAATTTACACCTCCTAAGGGCACTTTCTGCAAGTCGGCCTTCTGGCCACCGGCTCTTAGTCCCTCTCTTCCCATGAATCTGGAGTTCTCAGCTGCTCCCTCTCTCCATGTCCCCATCTCTGCCTCTGTCTCTGGTGTAGCTGCTTCTCTGGATAAGGTCCCGCATTCTGCTTGTGCTCTTCTCCCCTGATGGTCCACTTTCTTTCTGACCAGTAAAACTCTTCTTTTTTTTAATTAAGTAATTTTGAGTTTTGTTCCACATTTTCTTCCACTCTCTCCAGGACCCTCTAATGTGATCCCTTCAGAGCAGTTGGTACTTCTGGTCTCCAAGTCTTAGACACTGAAATTCACAAGTTCCATTAGTCTGGCTTGGTGGTATTTGATGTCAATAAATAGTATTTCCTGCTTACCCAACTGATATAGGAAAATAATAGCATTATTATGGATAACATTAACTTGTTATTACCCAATAAATAATGACTGGAAGGTGTCTCTATTTCGAGATTCTTTGATTTGGCCTTTTATTCTATGTTGTTGTAAGTGTTGTTGAGTCGGTTCCAACTCATAGTGACCCTGTGTAGGGTTTCCAAGGAGGGGCTGGTGAGTTTGAACTGCCAGCCTTGCAGTTCAAACCAACCTTGAGGTTGAGTGCTTATCCTATGGTGACAGCAGGACTCCTATTAGATATAATACAGTTTTGTTTATAGAAGACTACATTTATAGAAATGGTAATTTTTGCACTGAAGGATAGAGGTTTTATTCCTAGTGCATTTTGAAAGGGCATTGTACTATATTTTTAAATCACAATGTGAGTTGTTGTCGCCTCAATTTTTAACTAAAGTGGTAATTATGACATATCCTATAATGAAGTCAAACTTGACTGAGTCAAACTCATTATAAGCCATAGTAAAAACAAACCTACCTTGGATTTAGATTGTGATTAACATAGCTTGTAGTTAGATTTTAATTCCAGCCTATAAAATATATATTAGTATAACAGTACCGACTTCTGGTACAGCAGGACAGCCAGAAAAGGTAGGGACTTGCACTGGCGGAAAAAACGAGTGGGATCTCGCAAAAGAAACATTCATAGACCAATCCCACGGCTTTTGGACTATCATAATCTCTCCTGGGCTCACATTTTTGAGAAACCGCGCTAACAAGGATAAAGAAAAGCGCGTATTTTGAGACTCTTTTCTGCGGGAACATGGGGCGCTCCCGTGACAGCAGAGTTTGGAAGGCAGGGCCAGGGCTAGCCCGTACAGAAAGTGGTGTCTCCCAGAAGGGTGCAGCTCACCCACACACGGACAGTGTGAGGAACTCTGGAGAGTGTAAGAAAGGCTGTAGTGGCTTCTTAACGTCACCCATCATCCCCCAACTGTCACTGCAGCTAAGCCCCCTGCCCCACTCCTAGCTAGCAGTGGGATCTTACAAAGCGGGCATTCGTATACCAGTCCCACGGCTTTTGGACTATCATAGTCTCTCCTGGGCTCACATTTTTGAGAAACCACACTAACAAGGATAAAGAAAAGTGAGTATTTTGAGACTTTTTCCTGCGGAGACTGCCGGTCACTCCCGCTACAGCAGAGGTTAGAAGGCGGGGCCAGGGCTGGCCCATATAGAAAGTGGCGTCTCCCAGAAGGGCCAGGGGCGATACAACTTCCTCCCGCCCCAAGTCTCTCTGCCCTGGCTTGAGACCCCAATAAAAATTGGCCCGGTGCAACTCACCCACACACGGAGTGTAAGGAACTCTGAAAAGTGTAAGAAAGGCTGCAGCGGCTTCTTAATGTCACCCATCATCCCCCAACTGTTGCTGCAGCTAAACCCCCTGCCCCCACTCCTAGCTAGCAGTGGGATCTCAAAAAGCGGGAGTTCATATACCAGTCCCATGGCTTTTGGACCATCATAATCTCTCCTGGGCTCACATTTTTGAAAAACCGCGCTAACAAGGATAAAGAAAAGCGAGTATTTTCGGACTGTTTCCTGCGGAGACTGCAGGTCACTCCTGCGACTGCAGAGTTTAGAAAGCGGGACCAGGGCCAGCCCGCTCGGACAGCTGCATCTCCCAGAAGGGCCAGAGGTGATATAACTTCCTCCCACCCCATATCTGTCCGCCCTGGCTTGAGACCCCAATAAAAATCAGCCGGGTGCAGCTCACCCATGCACAGAGTGTGAGGAATTCTGGAGGGTGTAAGAAAGGCTGCGGTGGCTTCTTGACGTCACCCATCATCCCCCAACTGTCGCTGCAGCTAAGCTCCCTGCCCCCACTCCTAGCTATCAGTGGGATCTCACAAAGGGGGCATTCGTATACCAGTCCCACGGCTTTTGGACTATCATAGTCTCTCCTGGGCTCACATTTTTGAGAAACTGCACTAACAAGGATAAAGAAAAGCGAGTATTTTGGTACTCTTTCCTGCGGAGACTGCAGGTCACTCCTGCGACTGCAGAGTTTAGAGAGCGGAACCAGGACCGGCATGCTTGTAGAGCTGCGTCTCCCAGAAGGGCCGGAGGCGATGTAACTTCCTCCTGCCCCAAGTCTTCCCGCCCTGGCATGAGATCCCAATAAAAACCAGCCGGTACAGCGCACCCACGCACGTAGAGTTCTTGTTGACTACACATCCTCCTGGAGGTGGGAATTTATCCTTCCTACATCCCGTAAGAAGAAATAGCAATCGTGGCCATATAGATAGCTAAGCTACAACATAATACCCCACCACTTAGACGAGACCCAACAACATTTGCTACAATTTACAGATGAAAAGGGAAGACCATCTCCTGACCACATTAATAACAATAATAATAATAATAAAAAAACAATAACCATGACCAATAAGAAACAATCAACTTTATCAAAGCATGTCCA